CTAAATGATACGTTGCCTAATAAAAGAGAGAAAATGCCCCGTGTAGGAGTTAACAGCAGCTCCCAGGGTCAAACAAAGACATGAGGAAGCTTCAGTGGACATCAGCGTGAGACACACATGTTAACATGCTGCTGTTATCGCTTCAATCCCTCAATCGATTCCAGACAGCTTAAGTTTTCACCTCGTATGCTTCCCCCCTCGCTTGCCTTGGCTTTGGACCTGAATGACAATTATTGTTATGAAGATGCATCTCTTTTTGGTCGAGCGGTGTGTTACCTTCAGTGAACTCCTCTGTCTGTCTGTGATTGGAGGTGAGCAGAGGGCCTTGCGTCACGATGAAGGTCAGGTTGAGCTAACTCAGTGAACAGAATCAATACCCGCTCTCAGTTGTACTATTACTCTTCATAGGTCACCTGGGAAGGGGTTATTATTAGGAGATACTTTGTGTTTTATTATCCCCAAGACAATGCTGATGAGACCAAACTCATTCATCTAATGAAGAACAGTCAATGAAGAGAACTGTAAGTAAATAGCAAAGTGCCATCCCATGGAAGCGATTAGGCCCCATTGGAGCTGCTAATCTAAATTAAATCTGCCTATAATGAATGAAGCCACCATGGCCTCCCTCGCAGTTCTGACTGGAGATTATAAATGTGCCTGTTGTTGAGGATATGATTGATGTGCATGATGAGTCTGCCTCTCAGTGTGTGTGTGTGTGTGTGTGTGTTTGGATGCACACAGTTTTTCCTACATGTCTGCTCGTGTTCCTGCAGCTCGGGGACTATATCTCTGACATAGCCAGTAACATGATGCTGGTGGAGGAGCATATCCTGTGGATGGCGCAGAACGAGGCCCGAGCATGCACTCGCATCGTCCAGTGTGTGGAGCGCATTGCTGACCTGGCGCTGACCGGAGACAACCAGGTCATTTCTAAGGTGCGGCTGCTCTTTGAGACGGTAACACTGATACTCCGGACCACACTCAGGCAGGGCAGAGGTTGATTATCTGACTAAAATGTCCCACAGCTTCACCTCTTTTCTTGCTGCCCAGAATAATGAGAAGTTAATCTGGCTCCAGCAGATAGCTAGAATAAGGCAAGAGAAAGATAAATTGCTTCCTTTGTTTCGTCTTGCTTCCGTCTATTTTTTAACCTCTGTGCTGTCACTTAGTATAAAAGAATCTGCTTAATGACTTTTATTAACAATCTCTACCCTCTCTCTCTCTCTCTCTCTCTGTCCTCTCTCTCTCTCTCTATTTAACCCTTCCCTCCCTCCAGGTGTCTGCTAACATAGCCCTGGAAGCCTTCCTCATCCGGCCCTCAAACTTCCTCGGCCTGTCCTGCACAGCACTGCAGTGGCCCCCCTCCTCTGCCACCTCCCCCCTCCCTGACAGGCGCTCTCACAGTGACAAGGACACGAGCAGAGATCGTGATGCTGAAGAGGACTCGTTGCTCAACTTTAAATGTCACACTGTCAACAGCAGCGGCTCACCGGCCAGTCAGCTCAGCAAGGTAAGTCTCAGGTTAATAAATGGTGTGAAGCTGTGATTCAACTCTTTTCCTTACTCTTTGCTTTGTTGGTAAAATCCTCTGATTCCAGCCTGATGTCAGAAAGCATCTTCTGTCTTTAAAGAAACAAACACTTTTTTAAAACGTGTTCAAATGTACTAGTGATGAAGGAAAAGGAGATAATCTCAAGCTTTGTGGTGCCATAACCAAAAGGTAAATGGAAATAAAGACACATTTTGAATAGCTATTTCCTTCTTAATAGTGGGCTACGTCTTAGATACTGGCACAACCAATATGCCAGTGTAAAATGTGCAGAGAGGTCTTTTTGTGGCTGTATAATCTAACACTCTGTGTCATCATTACTGCAAGTGCAGCCGCCATCGTCACCCAATGCACGTGACCTGACATGAATGAAATAATCCTTCATTTAAAGAAAACTGTGGTATACTGTAAAGTAAGTAGGCCTAAGCCCTGTGGAGTGCTGGTTAGATTGAAAACACTAGTGGAGATGATCAGTATGACTCAGGGAATACTGTCGCTCGCTGTGAGTCTGTACTTCATAACCATCAACATTACTGTAGGCTGAGAGTCCAACTACCATACCAGTAGCTAGCAGAACTGAAGAATCCAAAAGGTGAAATAGAGAGAACTACACAGCAGCACAGATACAGCCTCTAGGGACTTAGGCTGAAAGCAATGGTAATCATTTTGCAGGGAGACAATTCTAACCTTTTTCCCCCTCTGGGAAACCCCCCAAAAATTGTTTTTTAGGGGGTCAGTTTCATTAACGTATGCGTGTGAATGAAGAAAATCCACTGAAATGTTTTCAACTTGAGCAAGAACTCTGTGTGAAGCAGGTGTTAGGATTCATTATCGGGTGATTTTTGTTCTCCAGACGGAACCAGCAAAGCATGATTATTTTTTTTCAGATCTGCATTATGATGTTGTTACTCCAGCATCAATCATTTTAATACAACTCCAAATACATGGTAGAAAAATCTGAAAAATGTTAAAGGGGCAGGCACTCCACAGCTTTGACAGAACGACAGTGGCTGGTGTCCATCAGATAAATCTTGGTGCTGATCCAAGCAGGTCATCAAACTGTACACTGGTCAGCCTCATGTAGCTGGAAGAAGCAGGAAAGTTTAACACAGTTCAGGGAGGAGGCCGGTCTGCAGGGGTGAATATCCCTAAGTTATGTTTGACAAACAGATGAAACTGGTTACATCAGACAAAAACTGTCCTTTGCTTTTGGTCAGAACGCATTTAAACTCAGGAGAAAGAAAGCAACTCAGGGAGAAATGAAAAAAAGACAGGAAGAACAGTTTGTACAGCAGCTCGTGGGCACAGTAAAATTAATTCTCTTACCTCACACGGTTGAAGCATCCAAGAAAGATTACCACCGGCACCAAAATCTGTTGCTGCCTATTTGTCGCTGTGAGATGACACCCTGTTTGGATTAGCTGGCAAGCTGTAAATCAGCTGGTGATAGGTGAGGTTGTAGTGGGGGGCTTGACCAGCAAATAGGACAGTTATCTGGGAGTCAGTGAATGTTGTGGCCACTCCTCTGTGATGAATAAGATGGCCTTGTGTCCCTGTCACTTTAAATCAGCCACCCCCCCCCAACACACGCTCCGCCGTGGCTCTGGTTGTGTCAGTCCCAAATGACAAACACCCTGTTGACAGGGGGGGGGGGGGTGCACTGTGCTGCTGCAGACGGCAGGCGAGACATTCGGCTCCCCTGGCACTAAAGTGGCAGAGTTGTGCAACATTTGAACAGTTTGCACCCTCCAGCTATTCAGTCTGCCGAAGAATTCATTCAGTGTGCCCTGTCTGTGCGTGTTAGTGTGTGTCAGCAGTGAGACTGTGTGTGTATGTGTGTGTGTGTGTGTGTGTGCATGTGTGTGTCCTTCAGTCTGCATGCTTATTTCATTTCCTTCATCTTCTCCTCTGGTGAGTCGGTGTCAAGTCTCTGCGGTTTTGTCAGCAATTACGGCACTTAATTCTGGCTCTGGGCTGTGTGTACATTGTGTTCATGTACGTATGTATAAATGCCGTCGTAGAAGCTAAGCTGAGTCAGCTGCATCATGGGAAGGCCACTCTACCAATTTCCTTAAAATCCGCTCCTGATGATTTCCAGGTGGGCTCAGTCAAATCAGGAGCAAACATTTATTTTGGTGCACAGCGAACAAATCATCATGACTGCACTTCATGATTCTGACAGCTTTCTCTCCACTCTCTCTCTCTCTCTCTCTCTCTCTCTCTCTCTCTCTCCTCTCTCTCTCCCTCTCTCTCTCTCTCTCTCTCTCTCTTTCCTCTCTCTCTCTCTCTCTCTCTCTCTCCTCTGTCTCTCTCCACTCTCTCTCTCTCTCTCTCTCCCTCTCTCCCTCTCCCTCTCTCTCTCTCTCTCTCTCTCCACTCTCTCTCTCTCTCCACTCTCTCCCTCTGTCTCTCTCCTCTCTCTCTCTCTCTCTCTCTCTCTCTCTCTCTCTCCCCCTCTCTCTCTCCCTCTCTCCCTCTCTCTCCCTCTGTCTCTCTCTCTCTCCACTCTCTCCCTCTGTCTCTCTCCACTCTCTCACCCCTCTCTCTCTCTCTCTCCACTCTCTCCCTCTCACTCTTTATCTTTCTCTCTCTCTCTCTCTCTCCACTCTTTCTCTCCACTCTTTGCCCTCTCTCTCTCTCTCTCTCTCACTCACTCTATCTGCTTTTCTCTCTCTATCCACTCTCTCTCTCTCACTCACTCTTCTTTATATGGTGTGAGTGAGAAGTGTGCTGCACTCCTAAGCTTCTGAGCATCACCTTATTTCAAATATAAGCACTTCCCTTTGTGGTCTTGAAAAAAAAGCTTTTTTAAGCTTTTTCTAAGAAAATCTTCAGAGATGTTAAATTGAATCATTAAGTGTGTTGCAGGAATGTGATACCTGACTTTACAATAACCCAGATTTATGAATTATGAAACTCTTTATATCTGAGTGTTCCTTTAGCGACTTCACTGATCTGATACCGATGCATGAGCCTCAAATAATGGCTGCTACGGACTCTCTATGGCTATAGAATGATTCCTGTCACTGCTCTTATATCTTCCATGACTTCGAGGAGACGGCCTTCTTTGTTGCAAGGATATTTATTGAACAAATAGTTAAACAATGAGTACTGAAGTCTGCAGAGTCCAGAACTGAATGCATGTTCTAGCTCAGCTTAAACACTCTGTGAACATGAATAAATGAATGCACCACTTAACTTTTAGTAAATTAGTCAGATCTCAAAGATCACATAAAACATGGATCTGGGGTTTAATTGCAAATCTGCTTGAAATAAGTATTTTTCCTCAGTCCAGCCAAGAGTGTCAGAGAAACACTGATTTTCAAAATTACTGAAATTACTATCTTTTTTTAAAAATTAATCATTGGGTCAGTTTATTTTGGAGAGAATGCACGATGAACACAGAACAGGTCTTGACTTTAAACAAGCTGAGCCCCCAGAAACTGTAATCATGTTTTCACACATGCCAGAGCTGCATGTGTGAATGCAAACAGCCACATTTTTTTTTACCCAGAAGGTACCCAGACTTTTTTCCTGCCAGCTTATAAAAATCTCTATGTGAAGTCACAGCAGGTAAAAGGCAGAAAAAGTCACCACAAGCGATGTCTTTTAAAGCTGAGCTGGTAAGATCTTGGTGCACATAGGAAACTCACCTTGATGTTCTTTCCCTCCCGTTTTGTTTGTAATGTGAATACGTTCAATAACTGGTCACATTGTGACATGATGTCTTGTGACATCTTCTGTCTCTGCTGTATCACCAGCATCACCAGTGTAGAGCAGAGCTATTATACACACACTACATGACTCAGGGCTCTGATGGAGATTATTACTGAACCATTGGCTAGCTGCTATGGAGAAAACATAGTGATAAGAAGCAGGGCTGCTGAACATTAAAGGCCAAAGCCATAGCGTATCTCCATTAAGTTAATCTTGATTTAACAAGGCACGTTGACTAAGAGCATCACATAAGTGAAGCAGCCAATTTTCAGCAGGAGTTTGGGAGGTGGAGAGAGGGTGTCACATTCGATTTAAATCGCACTCAAAGAGGTGCTTCACTTGAAAATAGTCTGAGAATGACTAAGACGATAAACAAGTTAGCCTTAGAGGACAACAGTCATCTTTGCACAACAGGCAGCAATATCATGCCTTTGGATTGAATTAGTACCAACCAGGAGGGCTAATGACTGTAGCAGAAGTGAAGCTATCACTCAGTATTCTTGGGTATATCTCAGTAAGAACATTTTTTTTTTTTTTGTGCGGGAACTCTTGCTGTTTTAAGACTTGATATATTACAGGAAAAAAAAAAGTTGTAGAAAGGTCAGTTTTTGTGCATGAGATGAAGGAGTGTAATACGTTTTCCACCTCATTTAGCGAGCACAATGACCACAGCTCGTCCTCCTTGAGCGCCTCACGGTCTCACACCTCCTGAGCCGCCCGGTATCCTCAGCTCCGGCTCCTTTTTGGAACAGCTGAGGGTGAGGAGCGGCTTGCTGCTGCTCCACAGCACTTTAATGGTGATTGTTAGAGGACAGGAAAGTGACTTCAGCAGCCCATAAAAGGGCTTCAGTCCATTCAAGCTATCATCACCCTGCAACAATATTGTCCTTTCGCTCCCTCCCCCCCTCTCCTCTCTACCTTTCACTGGGCATGTGGGAGAAACTTCACCAATTACTGAAATCTGCTGCTGAGCCATGTAGGCTGAATTTTTTTTGCACAAGCTCTGGCAACTTCACAAGATGAGATACTTATTATTTCAAGACTGAATTTATTTTTGCATAATTGAATTTGGATATTCCTAAGCCTGTGAAAGAGTTTTGCAAAGAGCAGTGTATCTTTTGGATTTGGAAGTTTCCATTAAATCGTTTCACATGTTGTATAAAGTCCTCGTGCAAAACCCCCCTTCTGGCCAGCTGCTTGGTTTTGTAGCTTTGAGTCACTGAGTGAGAGATTTGGTCATCCTC